GTTCGTGTCATGTGGTTTTGGAGGTCATTCTTTAATTGAATATTTGTGTGCCAGGCACTGTACTAGCACTGGGAAAACTGTGTAAGTGTTGTAGTCCCTGCCCTCAGGGACGGATGCTGGAGTGCAGGTTGGGGGAGCACTGGCAGACCACTTACTGAGTCCTGTTCTAGGTGGCGTCTGTGGGAACACAGTGGGCGTGAAAGAATAAGTTGGCCTCCTTCCGGTTAACAATGAGCGTGTAGGCACACGGGAGCTCCAAGTGCCATGTGGTCCTGGGTGACTCGGGTGAACACAGAGTCCTAACTCCATCCGGCTCTTTTCCTTTTTCTGTCGCCTCACAGAGTGTTAGGCACTGGCTGAAACAAGCTATGTGGATTTTTTGGTGACCCTCATGTTCAGTGTCATTTCATTAGTCAAGAAGGTTGGTTAAAATCAACACTTTTTTTAAAAGAGCCTTTAAATCACGTGGAAGTGGATGAGAAGCTTACATTATGAGAGACCCACAGGAATTAAGATGAAGGGAGCAGCAGATTCCTGTGTCCTGTCTTACCCCTCACTGAACAGAGTTGGTGTCGGAAGCACCTGCATTTAACTGTCTTACTCCCTTCATCCCCCAGGCTTTTGTAATAAACTGTGTGTTGTCTGAATGCACATATGATATCTCCACTGTACTCATGTCACTCTTTGTGACGTATCAGTGGGTTATGGTGAATTATCCATTTAGGGAATGTGGCTGTTGGGGCAGTTAGGATATTTGGATCATTGGTAACAGTTGTTTTTGGAGTTTCTTACAGTGTGGCTGGGAAGAATTTCAGGAAAAAAGGAGCTTTCAGAAAAGTGTTTGTGATAGAAACTGAGGCACATGGAGGCTACATAATACACATTTTAAAAATGTATTTCCAAGAAACAAGATTTCCCTTCTCTCTTTCCATGTAAGCAGCCTGAGGAAAGGGTTATATCCCTGAACCACACTGCCCAGAAAAATATGAAAGCTATTGAACTTGTAAATAAGTTCAGATTTAGATGAGTTTTAGAAAGAAAGGCATTTGTCACCAATTTAAATTTTCCATTTAGTCATCTCAAGACCTCAAAGAAGTAGATTCTTGGTAAATTGATTTCCCAAAGTGAACCAACAGAGGAGGCTCCTCCGTGTCTTCACCATCCCATCACGTGGGACATACCATCCTCTAGAGAGGACAGACTTGAACACAAATGAACGTCTGTTCATGGTTTTATGGATGCCAGGGCACCTTTGCTCATGATCTTACTAAATCTTTATGGTGGCCCTGTGGGGTAGAGTCCCTCCACCTCTTAATGATTTTTCTGTATTGGGATTGAATTTAATTTATCGTCTCTATTTTACAAATGAAAACCTGAGCTTCTTATGAGATTGAGTTTGAGCTCCATGGCTTGTGGGTGAGCCAGGTTTGGAACCAAGATCAGCTGGAGTCTTCACACCATCTCCCCTCCCAGCCCTTGCCCCCAATACTGTGTTCTTCATTGACTGAATTGAGTGAAAGCTGACTCCCTTGCTCAAAGGATGCATGGGGAGGTGAAGATACCAGCTCTGCAAGTACAGGTATTCTGTGCATAATTCACTTGTTTATTTTTTATTTTATTTTATTTTTTTAGAAGGAGGGTCTTGCTATGTTGCCCAGGCTTGAGTGCAGTGGCTTGATCCTAGCTCACTGCAGCCTTGAATTCCTGAGCTCATGTGATCCTCCCACCTCAGACTCCCAAGTAGCTGGGACTGTTGGCATGCATCACTGCACCTGGCAGTTCACTTGTTTAGATCTTTAATGTTGATAATAAGCAGGTGCGTGTTACTATAGATTCAGAATTGGGGTAGATTAAGTGTTGTTAACCAATTGCAAGCATTTTCAGGATACTCCTAAAGTGTGGCTAATACTCTCAGAGCCACTAGATACAAGGACAGTTTCCAGGATGAGGTGGATTTTGAGCTGGGCTGGAAGGAACCTGAGGGACGGAATGCCAGAATGGTTATTTCGGTGTCCGGTACGGGGAGCTTTTCTCAGCCAGCTCCAGTCTTGTGATCGGAAACTGTGTGCCCATACAGTGCCTCATCTTACAAATGAGTTGTAAAACCGAAGGCCTGTATAACTCTGTGGATTATGTATCTGGTAGTTTCTGGGGCTGTGTCCTGGCCCATGTCCAGAGTAAGTAATTCCATCCTGCTGAGCTTCAGTTGACCAAATTGCAAGAGCCTGGGCGCAGAGTTTTTCCTTTTGCAGTAAATGAATAAACACACATGGGTATTTAGAAGAGTGTCTGTATTTACTAAGTGCATAGATCAATTAATGCTAGCTAACATTGCATTCCACAAACAACCAAGGACTTGCAATTCGTAGTTTTAGAAGTAACTTGAAGGAGTTATCCACAAGAGTCTAATGCCTGTCTTCTAAGGCAGGCCTCCCCTTGTGGAGCAATTCAACTAGCAGAAGTATTTTCTTGTGTTTCTTAGAAACCATTATCCCTCTACCCACCCCTCATGAATGCATTCTTATTAGTCAACAAACCTCAGTAAGTGACACTCAGAGGTGGACTTACTTTCCATAGAACCTCTAAGCTCCCACCCCTCAGGTGCTGTTCCAGAATCCTGTCTTTTGTGCAGTTGGTTTCAGAGCTAAAAGCAGGAATTTAGATTTGTTCCTATTAAATTCTATTATTTTTCACTTTAGCCCATGACCCAAAGCTGGTAAGAGCCTTCTGAATCCTGACAAGCTCAGTGTCCTTAGACATCAAATAACCTCTGAAGAGCTGTCTGTCACTTGGGAGGGTGTAGACCCATGTGTAGAAGTTCCAAAGAATATTCTGACTCAACCTCAGGCAGTCAGGATCCTGGGGGCTGCTTTTGTTATACCTGAATGGGTGTCTTCCAAGGGTGGGGAACCTGCGGCCTTGAGACCACATGTGGCCTTCTGGATTCTTGAGTGTGGCCTTTTGACTGAATCCAAATTTTACAGAACAAATCCTTTTAGTAAAGGGATTTGTTCTGTGAAGTTTGGATTTGGTTGAGGGGCCACACTCGGGGATCTGAAGGACTACATGTGGCCTTCAGGCCGCAGGTTCCCCACCCAAGCGAGATGGGGATGTGTGTGTGGTTTTGCTTGGGAGGGTGTGGAAGGGGAGAAGGTGGGCTAGCCACTGCCCAGAGAGTTCACTCTTATTCTTATAACTTCTCCAGTGAACTGCTTTGGAGCTAGAACAGACTCCAGAGTAGAGTACGGTACAGTTTGAATTTTATAAGACTCTTAGATCCCAACAAAAATTGTAATAGTTTAAGAATTCAAAAAGCCCACACTGCAGGCATTGTAGAGTTCATTTGGGGGTCACTCATAAAACCCTTTCTTGTGGAGTAATTTGTACCATAACATTTGGCAATTTAAGAAGTCCTGTGTAAATGTACACATGCTGGTGAGAGGTAGTAAATATTTTGCTGACAAGTTCTTTGAGTGATGGCTCAGTGGCAGCATTTAAAGGCAGACAACCTGAGGGTTTTTTTTTTTCTTTCTTTTTAAATCCAGATGCTGCCAAATCTACAAAGCTGTAAGGGAAGAAGCCAAAAGCACCTGCTAGTTCTATTAATTGCGTAATATTCATGTGCCTCAGAGTTTTTGCACCTGGGATCTGTGGGTAGACACAGATGGGGGAGGGCAGGGGACGGGATGCAGTTGGGACAGAGAAGGAAGGAAGACAGGTTGGCTGCTGTCGGTGACAGCTCTGGAACATGGGCAGTCCTGGTGCTGGGTGCAGCCCCCAGCACCTATTTCCCTCCTGGGTGCCGCTGCGTGACATTGCGTGGACTTGAGGGCACGGGAAGCGGCAGAACGGTGGTCACAGGAAGCCTCCCCTACGCGGGCCCCGGGCCTCCCCCTTTCGATCAGTCCACAGGAGCAATTCTTCTCCCCTTTTTTGGGAGGCCTTTGAATTAATGATCTGATGCCTTTTCGACAAAGGAATATTGATATGTTAGTGTGCCGGACAGCAGGGAGTACTGGATTAGATCATTTTCACGTTGGTGTTGTGCCAGTTTGACATTTGTTTGAAAGCTTATCCCTTTGTGACTATAGGTTACATGCATAATTTAAGGGGAATAAATCTTTAAGAAAGATTTCTTTTGGTTCTGTAATCTTGAGTGCTACAGAAAAAGAAATGAAAGACCTCCCTCGCAGTTTTCGTGGGATCAGGAACTCAGAGTAGGCTACAAGATGAAGTGCCCGATATCGATACACAGTATTTCCACACGTGTGCTGGGCACTTGTGGCAGGTGTTGCAGGAAAGCCAGGAGGGGGGACTACTTGGTCGCTGCTTCGAGGTTACAATCTAGGAGCTAAGAGTGGCAAAGCAACCTGACTACACAAGATAAAAGTTCCAGAAACACTATAGATCCATCCAGTCTAGCTGTCGTTGCTGTCTTAATGGAGTGAGTATTTGTGCTGGCAAAATAATTGCCCTCCTTCCTTCCATGATCCTGCCATCATCTTGGCGATCTCATATTGGGATGGTTCGGCATTTTGGAGTTATGACACCAGTTGGCACAGTGAAGTGGACGTTTTTTTATTTTAGTTTGTTTTCCTATAAACAACTTCTTCTGCTATGGAGTTTGGTCATTGTTGAACAAAGTGCCCCTGGTTGATAGTAGGCACTCAGTAAATGGTTTCTGTGTGAATCACTGCAAACTTGCAACTCAGAGTGAATACCGTTCTTGAATGAAAATTTCTTCTTGCCTGTGGAGATTATCCAGCTTCTTCTGCCTGCCGTTGCATTTCTGTATGAGTGCTTAACACGGTATATGGAGAACAAAAGCCACTTGGACCTCAGAATTCCATGTTCTCCCCTAGGAGTTGTTCTCCAGGCAAAGCAGGCGACTGAAGAAACTTGCAGTAGAACTAAGAGCAGTGTGTTTATGGTTACCACGTCCTTACCGTACTATTTTGTGATTTCTCTTCCAGGTTTATTTTCTTGAAAAGGCTCCAGGCTTCGGCTTGGAAAATCCCACCGCCAAAATTGAGCCCAGCAGCTGGAGCGGCAGCGAGAGCCCTGCCGAAAACATGGAAAGGATGAGTGACTCTACAGATAAGCCAATTGACAATGACGCGGAAGGGGTCTGGAGCCCTGACATCGAGCAGAGCTTTCAGGAGGCCCTGGCTATCTATCCACCATGTGGGAGGAGGAAAATCATCTTATCAGACGAAGGCAAAATGTATGGTAAGTGGCCTGGAGCGCTCCTTTGAAATGCTGCAAACTGCTGTCGTGCTAGGGGATAGATTATAGCTGGCTTTCCGGTGAGATCCATTCATTGTGTAGGGTTGAATGATCTTTGTAGAATTTTAGTTGGTCACCCAAGGGACTAACCCTCAACTAAAGAGGAGAGTCAATAAGGGACCATTGGGAAATCACTCCCTGGGCTTTTTCTGTATGCTCAAGTGGCATCCCCTCAGAAGCTCTCGGGATCCAGGTAGGAACATAGATAGTTGCAGGGGCGTAGACAGGCACCAAATGGCAGGGGTGAGTTCTTCAGACCGCAGGCCCGGTTTAAAGGAAGTGCTGTCACTTAACTCCAGGCAGCTGGTGCCATGCAGGAATGGGGGCCTGGTGCTGCCAAATCTCTTAATTACCCCACCCTCTCACCCCCGAAGGAAAAGCCAGCGATCTGGATGTTTAGATGACATCTACTCTTTCTAAAAAGCCAGCACTTAAAAAAAAAAAAAAACACCACCTTGTGCAGGCCAGATGAAGATGAAACACGTGCGTGAACTTGATCAGCCCCCTCAACCACCAGTTTGCTGCTTTGCTGCCAGTTTGCAGTCGAACGGTCAGACTAGGCATTGACCCTCCTCCCCCTGGGTCACTCTCAAGGGGCTCCTCTTCTTCAGGGAATGTGTCCTGAAGGAAGCACCAGGAGTGCTGAGGGTGAGACCGGGTAACCAGATGGCTTGGGATGCCACAGGCGGCAGCAAGTGTCCGTCCACTCGTCTGGGGCTTGCTTGCTGGCTTCGGACATTCCCCCTTCCTTCCATAAATGCTTCCAGCTGCAGAGCTGTACTTTTTGGCTGTTTACCTTTTGGAAAGCAGATGGCAGGTGGTTCCTTGTACATTCTGCCTGTCTAATTGGGCACATTGAGTTGACAGAGTTCATACTGTAGCCGAGTCTAAAGAGATGCAAACAAATCACCTAAACTGAAAGAGAACCTGCCCAGCAGCCTACCTGAGGTTGTTAACTTATCATGGGAGTGATTTATTTCTAAATAACTTGAAATCCTTTCCATAATAGGGTGTTGTACCTTTAATACTGAGCTGCCTCTATCAGGAGCCGGCCGAGGCTGTGGCTTAAACTAGCACACACTGCTAAGGGGAAAGCAGATGGCCGTGCAGCTGCCACCAGCTGTGTCCCCCACCCTGCCCTCCCCTTCTCCAACTTGGATGATGTAATGGAAACAAGGAAAATTTTGCTTTCTGCAGCATTGGAGTCGCTCAGCCCGTCACACATAGGGGAGAGGGAGAACCCAAACCTCCAGCATTTGTTTTATGCTCTCACAATAACCTTTGTAGCCAAAGAAGCTTCTTTGTGTCTGGCGAAATGGACTTGGGATGAAACATCTCAGCTGCTATGGGGAGAAAGTTGCGGGGCCCTAGATTTTCTGTATTTGCATCTTTCCTGGGCCCCTCTTCCTCAGCCTGGCTGGGTGCTCTCAGGGTCTTGTCCTTATACCTAAAAATGCAGCTCCTCCCCTCTCCTAAAGGCAGAGAAAAGCGCTTATCGTTGAGTCTTCTTCGAACAGGATTTTATTAGGTATAGTGAAAGGTGGGCTTTGGGACACTACCTTGTACAACTCCCATTTGTTTACCCAAAAGTGTTTTAATCTAAAATAATGGTGTAGTATTGGAAATCGTGGTTGGTAATAACTACTGCACTTCATTTTTCACAAGGCATACTGGGAAAGGGACTGTCCCTTCAGGAAGAAGGTTTCAAGGCTGAGAACATATAATAATTCAAAGCAAAAGTTAATTTTTGTCAACTCTAATTTTGTTTTGTTGAGATTTTACTTTTTTAGATAGCAGCCCTGGTAGACTTAACCAATTTGCCTGTAACTCAATCATAAAAATATTTTTATAAGAAAATAATTATGTAAGAGCTCTTGTTGGTAATTGGGTCTCAGAGGCAGCAAGCCAGGAAAAGAACAGTGAGAATCTTTGGGATTTGGGTAGTCTATCAACAGTGAGGTTGAGGCCGGGCGCGGTGGCTCACGCCTGTAATCCTAGCACTCTGGGAGGCCGAGGTGGGCGGATTGTTTGAGCTCAGGAGTTCGAAACCAACCTGAGCAAGAGCGAGACCCCGTCTCTACTAAAAATAGAAAGAAATTAATTGGACAACTAAAAATATATAGAAAAAAATTAGCCGGGCATGGTGGTGCATGCCTATTGTCCCAGCTCCTCGGGAGGCTGAGGCAGAAGGATCACTTGAGCCCAGGAGTCTGAGGTTGCTGTGAGCTAGGCTGACGCCACGGCACTCACTCTAGCCCGGGCAAAAGAGTGAGACTCTGTCTCAAAAAAAAAAAAAAAAAAAAAAAAAAACAGTGAGCTTGAACCGTTTTGTCCTTGGTCTTGGTCTTAGTTTTCTCTCTGTAAAAATAAAAGGTGGTAAAGTAGATGATGTCCATGGGTCCTTTGGACTTTTCCCTTTCATGACACTGTGATTTTGTGACTTGTAACTGAGCAAGAGGATCCGTTAGTTATTGACAGACATGGTGTTGGTTGTGGGAGCATGTCTCGAGTACCCAGGGTAACTCACATTCTGAAGTCCTTCCTGGGTGCACGTGTTCTTGATGTGTGGGTTTTTTGTCCTTAAATCAACAATACCTTTACTGACCGTTGGTAGCTAACCTAATTTAAAATGAGACAGCCCTTTTGGGCAAGCAGCATTAGGAATTATAACTCATTTGGGAAGAGCAATCTTACTAGTTATGGGTTTTTCAGCATGTGGAGTACACAGCCTGCAGGATTGGGGTGTAGGAGATATGTTTGCCGCCCTGGCCCTGTAGCCACCCCCACCTCCAGCCAGCTGCTTTCGGGAGAAAACATCCTCGATCAACTCCCTCTCTTTGATCAACATGGGGAAATTTTGCTTCTGCTGCTACCTTGGAAGGGAAACATGGTGGCTAGCAGGGAGATGGAGACTGGACTCCTTAAGAGAAACTGCCCTGGGTGCCTGGGAGCTGTGTCTGACCTGCCTGTGACTTTGAGGGTGAGAGAAAGTTGATTTGGGAGCCTCCACAGTGAGGCCCCAGCCACTCGTGGAGTGAGTCGCGTGAGCAGTGTGGGGCCGGAGCTACCGTTCTTGGCTGCTGGTCTGTTCTCCATCTTCCCATGCGTGAATCAGGACACAAACCAGACCAGGATTCAGGCTTTCTTAAGGTTTTAGAGCAAACTTTTTCTCAAATGGTTTTGCAGATTAAAACATTGAAAGCATTTTGGATTCCATGCAGTAAAATCAAAATGATTTAGTCTTTTAGCGAAATACCAAGTGTTTTTTACTTTAAAGAGTTATTCCAATATTTCTGAGCGTTTGTATAGTGCTTTGGGATGTCACTAATCCTGAGCCATTGGAGAAGCGAGGTCAAGCGATTTATTTAGGGAATGAAATTCCCTTTGTGGTTGGCATTAGGGCAAATGCAGTATTATAGAGCAGTTGTCCCCAACCTTTTTGACGCCAGGGACTGGTTTCATAGAAGACAATTTTTCCCTGGACTTGGGGGGTGGGGATGGTTTTGGGATGATTCAGGTGCATTACATTTATTGTACAGTCACACCTCTCTGCTAATGATAATCTGTATTTGCAGCCGCTCCCCAGCACTAGCATCACCGCCTCAGCTCCACCTCAGATGATTAGGCACTGGATTGTCATAAGGAGCTCGCAGCCTAGATCCCTCGCATGTGCAGTTTATAGTAGGGTTAGTGCTCCTATGAGAATCTAATGCCACCGCTGATCTCACTGGAGGTGGATCTCGGGCAGTGGTGCAAGTAATGGGGAGTGGCTGTAAACACGGGTGAAACTTTACTGGGTCATTTGCCTGCCTCTCATCTCCCGTTGTGCAGCCGGGTTCTTAACAGGCCTGGAAGGGTTGGGGACGACCACAGTTATAGAGGGAAAAAATGGAAAACTCTCTTTATGTTGAGGTTTTGGGCATTGGAGGAGATGGCTTAATTCTCTTTCTGCTACCTTGGTCTTCTGGGAGCTGAGATTTTATGTAGTTGGTCTCCAGGGGGATAGATTGCTTCTGCCTTGGGCAACAGTATGTGTGGGCATTTGTTCTATGGACAACTCGGCTTAATCCTCCTTTGACTTTTTTCCGAAGGGCCTGCATGCTCGCTTTCATGGGCACCCTCCCTTTTTCTTTCTTTTCTCTTTCTGTGTGTCTGTCTTTCTCCTTTTCATTTCTTATCTTATTTTTACATAGCCGTGTGTCTCTCTTTCTGGTAGATAGTGGGGGAGGAGATAGCAGGAGGACAAGATGAGAGGGAAGTTCTTGATCAACGTACTTGTCTGAAATTGGATTTCAGAGGAGCAGGCCATAGTTGAAAACAAGACAAAACAGTGAACCATGGGAATATCTGGCTATGTTTCTTTTGCAACTGAAAATCCCAGTCTTACAATGTGGTCAAATATACCCTATAATCAAACTAGGATAGGAATAGGAACTAACATTCATTCTGTGCTTGCTGCAGAGGCAGAGAAGTATAGCACTTCACAGTTTGGACTTTGTAGTTAATATGAATCCTGGCCCTGCTACTTACAGATATCAGAGTTTGGGCAGGTTGCCTTACCTCTCTGTGTCTCAATTTCCTCCACTGCAAAGGAGGGTTAAACAGATTCCTACTTCATAGGATTATTATAAGGATTAAGTGAACTAATTGTGACCTACTACTACGTTTGAATGATATCTAGCATACAGTTTATATGAGAGCTGTATGTGTTTATGAACCAAAAACAGAATTGCTTTCTACCATGTTCTGTGCTAAAGACTTTACATGTAATTTCCATCTAATCCTCCTAACGGTGCTTTGCGGTTGGTGTTGTGATCCCCACTTTATAGATGAGGAAGCAGAGAGGGGTAAAGTGACTTGCACGTGGCCAATGTAAGTGGTGTAGCTGGAAGCTTTCAAATCCAGGTCCGTCTGACTCCACCACCTAGGCTCTTTACATGGCG